ATCATTACCTCCTGTACCAATAAAATAGCAGAAGCAATAAGAACAGCTACAATTCTGCAATAATTGTAAGATCGTGGATATCAGGCAGCATTGACTTGCAATCAGACAAGCCGCTCATCTGTAACAAAACATGTACTGAGGAACAGCTGATTACCTCTCCTCCATTAGTTGTGCATCTTGCCTATTTAACTGAAAGCCCTTCAGAGCAGAAATGTTAGCATCTTATTTGTGCAATTTATTGTATATTGCTGCTCCTAGATAACCTCGTAATAAAAATTAAAGTGAATCAAATTCATGACAACGGAACTGTACAGAAGTTAAGGCACACACTCAAGACTTTGAATATTCTTTGTTTGAATAGTCTTGTCCGAACTAAAAATATTGCAAAGCTGCATACTAAGTAACCATGGAAAGAAGAAAGACAAAAACAAAAAGAATGACTGCATACAAGCCTACTCATCCTCATCTCCACTCAGCATTTTCACCAACTCCACTGCAGGAGAAGTTTTGCAAAACCAAGCCTACAGATCAAAAAATCCATATTTAAAAATCCATGCTTAAAGGACGCATGAAACTGAGCAGAAATTTATGACCCTCTAATCCCTCTAATACTACCCATACAACTTAAGCAATAGGATTGCTTATGCAGGTTCCTAAGAAATCCCATCACAGCCGGTATCTAAACTCAGATTGTACAGCAGCTTTATTGAGGCAAATTCAGTATCTTTCTAAAGCCTACAGACCGTATGAAGTAAACCATAGTCCAATGACAAAAGTATATTAGAAAACACTTTCAGGAAGAGGATCAAAGAATTTAAAAAACAAAACAAAACAAAACCACCTCACAAAGACTAGCAGAATAAGATACTACACAGGTTAACATAAAATAATGTGTCCAGAGAGACTGAGATAAATGCTTACTGGAAGTAAGATGAAGAGAAAAAAATGTCAAAATTCCATTAAATAAATTCAAGTAATCGCATGCTAACTTAATTTAAGGAATACAGCTGCTTGATGTATTCCTTAAAATGTATTCCTTTAAACTTTTTCCTCTTACATTCATGATATTTTTTGATTCATAATATAAAATTATAATATTGTTACAAAGGAGGCAAAACTAGGACAACCTATTTACAACTCCTAGTGGCAATACAGGACTATCAATTCCAAAAATAAATTCCCCCATCTGATTTGTCCTAAATCTTTAATCTCATTAGTTTTGCATACAGAAAAAGGATAAAAGAAATCTAAAAGAGGGTAAGTTTCCAGGCACTGATAAATTTTATTTAGCATATTAGGTTACATAGGAATAATGAAAAAAACACTGTTCTAAATGGGTGAAACAACTTGTCATACTAAAGAATTTAAAAGTTGGTCTCATCACCTATCCAGTGCTGCATACCCACCAAGAGCAAAATTATCACATGCAGAAGGAGGGACTGTGAGAAGCCTTCCCAAAAGCTCATTGACTGCAACATCTGCATTTCTTACCTCTATTTACAGTAATATTTATAAACTCTAGAACTGTTTCCAAATCATGGTATTGGAATGGTACCAAACCTATTCTGAGAGACTGTATCAGGAAAGGAATATTTGCAGTATATTTTCTGTCTACCACAAGGAAGACAATGAATATTCTAGCATTCTGCACTCTTATCATATTACTCAAAAGAGCAATATAATAAATTAAAAAACAAAGACAAAACAGTTACAGTTGAACTACACAGACAACTCAATTGGTGTGAAGAAAGCTTACAACTCCAGGCCTTGGAGAACTCTAAGACGACTAATGCCACAGCACTGTTGATTCAGCATACCTTTAATACAGCTAAATAGCCAGGAAAAGCGGCGAAATGCCTCTTAGAAAATAGCTAGACATTTTATGTCCTACATCTTTCTGCTTGAGTTGATCTTCTAAAATATGCACGAGTGCAAACTTTATGAGATAAGCAAAAAGGGTATATTATACTGAAAGAGAATGAAAGATAGGAAAAAAAAATCAAAAATTCTTACATATTCTAAGCAAAAGACTGACAATTTGAATGTGATGAATACACTGCTAAGTTCAGAAAATATACCAGTATGTAAGCAAGTACCTTACTGAATTTTAATCAGTTTTATTGCATCTGTATCAAGTGAAGAGATCATGAATAACCACAATGAAAAAAAAGAAACAATACATTTCTATCTGAAAAGAGTGCTGCCACAGTCCCCAGTTACACAGTGAAGTATCTTGGAGGTGACAGCACTAAACTCACAGCGAACTGTTAACTTCAAACTGGCTTCACATGACTGCACAAACGTACCGAGGTACAACTTGCCACTATAAAACCACTTCAATTCAAAATAAAATAATCTATTTTCAGTTTAGCAATGTGTCTGAATGCATTTTGTGCATTTCTAGAGCCTTGCGGTTATTACTAGCGAAAGCAAGAGATTCACAACTAAGTTTGGAGACTTTGCTCCACGGGCACATGCATAGATCAAAAAGGAAAGTCAGAACATGCTGTAAACATTTGAAAACTAAAGGATAAACCATATGCCCCCAAAATGACAAGGTGCGAATAACATATTTTTCATGTTTTTTGGAAAACAGAGTATTTTGTAAATGCTATTTAAAAAAAAAAAAAGTTTGATAGCATAGATCTATCAGCTCTTCCATCTTTAAATCTTGGATATATTTGCATTCCCAAAACATTGTATTATTCAAAGTGAAATTACATTAAACATACTGCTGCTATATACTCAACTACTGTCTGAAAGCATCCCATAAAAAATACATTTTATATACTTTTCCTTTCAAGAAGATTTTAGTTTTTCATAACCTTTTTTTGCTTTTAAACTGGAAGTTTTCACAAAAGCAACTTCGAATAACTACAGTGTCAGCCAGGTAGACTTCAACTTAACCAAATATACCAGGCAATAGAAAGCATATAGATATTCAAGAAAATAAGTCAAGTTTGAACATTATATTTTTATTAGAGCTATGCCCAAAGAGAGTTAATAATGCAAGTCTCTGTATTCGAGACATTCGAAACGTCTATTTACCTATGTATTGTATCGTAAGTACTACATCTATCTGCATATTGTGTACCTACTTTATCATCTAAAGCAATGTTTACTGCGTTCCTTTTTATTCTTTCCCTTTCCCTCCTATTTGTTCAAGAAAACAGGGCACAAAATTTAAAATCAGCATGTGTAAGTAGACAGACTTCATCTATTCTGTGCCACAATAATACTAAAATGACATCAGGAAAAGTGGCAAAATGGCAATTCCCATCCATATCAACTGCAGCAAGGGTGGGAAGGGAGGGAATTGCTTTAAAAAAGCAACTGTATGCCATGTTTAGTAATTGTACTTGCAGATTATATGGTCGCATAATCGTTTCATTGAGAAATATTTTTCACCCAAACCACCTCAGCTCTCAGGACAGCCAGCACTGGCTGCCTCTGTGAATGGCATTTAGAATAAGCTCTTGCTGTCAGAGACGTGCTTCCCACACCTTTCACCTTCGTTTCTTTTCAATTCTTATCTGAAAAAGCACCAAGAAATCCAGGGTCTGGACGCTCACAACTAATACACTCTAAAACAACACGACTTTTTCATAACTGTGAAGGCAATTAACCCTCAAAACAACCAACCAACAAGTTTTGCGAGCTGCTTCCCCTCGCCATAAGGGCTTATCTGCTTTTCCAGGACACGGGCTCTGATCCAAAAAGACGTTAATTTCGGGAAACCTTCAGAGCCAGGAGATCAGATGTATTTCTCCAAGCGTGACAGCTCGGGGAAGGGCCTCTCCCCCGGCCTCCCAACCTCCCTCCTCGGCAGCATTCCTCAGGCAGCCCCGGGAGCACCGACCCCCCCACACACACACACCTCGGGCCAGGTGTGAGGCGCTGTCGCCCACCCGAGACAGCGATCGCGGAAGGCTGTGGGCCCGGCGGGGGAGGGGGGGCGGCAGAACTCGGGGCTCGGCCCCTTTAAGGAGCGCGGCGCCTTTAAGGAGCGCGGCGCCGTTGTTAGGCAACGGCCGCGCAACAAACGGCTCCCGCCCGAAGGCCCCGCTGCCCCCTCAACCCCCCCCCCCGGG